CCTGCTCGTTCTAGATCTCACTCGCATATGAAGCCTGACTTAAAAACAATCCTCTGTCGTTGTAGTCTGCCTTAATTCCAATAAAATGATGTAATTTGCCCATGTCAGAAATTGGAAACTTTATCTTTAGAGAAACAATAATGTATTGTAAAAGGCTTTGTGATGATGCCATTAAAATAATATCATCCATGTAAAGCAATATGTAAGAAAGATCTTCACCTTTTCTGTAAACAAATAAAGAGGCATCAGCCATGCTTGTGACAAAGCCTAGAGTAGTGATGAACTTAGCAATTCTGGAGTTCCAATCCCTAGGTGCTTGTTTTAAACCATATCTTGCTTTTTGAAGTTTACAAACATGATTTGGAAACTGCTTGTAACCCAAGAGGCTGATGCATGTATACCTTTCTTTTTTAAATCACCGTGAAGAAACACATTTTGAACACCCAGTTGATGTATCAGCCAGTACCAATATTCTTAACCATACGGATCGTTGCGGATTTGATGATGGGGGTGAAATTTTTTGTGAAATAAACTCCAGTTTCATGTGATATTCTATTAGCAACCAACCTTAACTTATGACGTGTAAGAACCCCCTCTGTATTATATTTGTGTTTAAACAGCCACAAAAATCTCACAAAACCCATCGAGGTCTTGAGACCAAATTCCAAGTCTTAGTTTTAATCATAGCACCATGTTCATTAGTCATCGCTGGATTCCAATTTGGATCACAACAAGCTTCAAGGTAATTTTTTGAAAAGGGGTGCTTTTGTGGCGGTGAGAAGAGAAAGGACTTGTTTTGGTTTTTGGATACCAGCTTTACTCCTTGTTGTCATTGTGTGACAAAGTTGTCTGAACAATTGGCAAGTAAACAAGTTGTAAAGTAGTTTCAGGGATTTCAGAATTGTTTGGCACATAAAAGAGGTTTTGAAGATTTGATTGAAATAGTGGTGAAAACTCTTCGTAACAATCGAGAAATTGATAGGATGTTGGATTTGATGTTGGTGACACCAAATGCTTGTTCAATTGTTGCGGGTGGAGCAGCCATTGAAGGGAAGAAGAAAAGGAAACGAAAGAGGAGTGAAGAGAAGAGAAGAGAATAAGAGAAGAGAATAGGTTCAGGAGCGATAAAGCTCTGATACCATGAAAGATGATGAATTCACTTTGATAGATCATTGTATTTACATGGTTTTTTTTTTGGTCATCAGCCTCAGTGCCTAGAACGGTTGGGTTAACCAAATCGGTGGTACTGAGTGTACATACATAACATCTTGAGGGTGGATCCGAGCACTCCTTGCTAGGTTATCCGCCTTCGAGTTCTTTGCGCGTGGGATATGTGATATAAGAAAGAAGCTGAATCTGTCTTTCATCTTCATTATCTCCTCCAAGTGTAGAGCAAAAGCTGGCCATTATTTGGGTGTAGACACCATCTTCACCAACTCTGAACAGTTCGTAGCAAAAGCGACTTCCATCTTTTGATACTCCAGCATACAATGCATAGCCCATATAATGGCTTCCATTTCTGCATGCAGAGATGTAAGACGAAGTCTTACATTTTGTGTTCCCATTATTGTCTCTGTGATACCTTCCTTAAAATAGAACCATCCTAGACCCGTTACTGACTCCGTATCTTTCCACGATCCATCAGTATAACACCACCAGACTTCATAGACTATAGGTATTGGAAAGTTTGTAGAATTGCAAAGATCTATTTGTGTTGAATCCTGTTCGGAGCTTTGAGCCTCCTCCCATAATATCGCTTCTGTTTCCGCTATTTTTAGTATAACTCATGGATCTATATCGATATTTGAGTACACTTTCTCGTTTCGAGCCTTCCAAATATACCATGCGATCCATGGAAACTGTATGTTATTTTTGTCCTTTGGAAGTCTCCAAAACAGATGATCAAAATTCGAAAAAACCGATGGCTCTGGAAAAATCCCTGGGGGTGTCGGTATTCGTGATAATGCCCACGTATGTAATGCAGGAGGACATTCAAACAGAACATGATTAATCGTCTCTTCTTCTGCTCCACACCGTTCACATTGTGTGTCACATTGTATTCCCCGAGTACGTAACCTAGCTGACACTGATAGGCAACCAGATATTGCTTGCCATATAAAATGTTGTAACTTCGTCGCACATTTCAATTTCCAAGTATATGCTTGTAAAACTTTAACATCTGGGCCAAATGAGTCCTCTGAGATCCACTCAGAAAAATACTGCTCAGTTTTGTACCCCGATTTTATCATATATCGTCTAGATTTTGTAAAATGCCAGTCCAATAAGTCTGGCCTATAAGATCTACTAATGGAAATTCCATGAATAATTTCCACACCCTCGGGGTTGATAATTGCCTTTATCAGACCCAAATTCCACGAGTTTGTCACTGGGTCAATCGGATGATTAACCATAAGATTCGGGTAATAATTAAAACCCTTACAAGTGGCTGATCTCGGGCGAGAAGAAGGTATCCAAGGATCATTCCATACAGAAATAGAGCATCCTGAACCAACTCTTTTGATTAGCCCTTTTTTAACCAAAGATCTAGCTGAGATTATGCTCCGCCATCCATAAGACGGTGAGTAGGATTTCACAGGAATTTGGTCTATCAATCAGTCTCCATAATTTTTTGCCGATAAAGCCGTGTTAAAATCCCCTACATCTCGGAATCCGATTTCTCTCTGCACATTGTTTTCTACGCTTACCAGTGCATGCCGCGATGATGTCCATCAGAGCTCCACCAATACCTTGCTGCTGCACTTCTTAGTTTTGCCAGTAGATTTAGGTAACCGAAAGCATGGCATGACGAAGGTAGGCATTGCAGATGCCACCGATTTAATCAGAACTTCTTTACCACCTTTCGACAATAATCGTGATGTCCAGCTATTGATCCGATCATGTTGTTTTTCTGCTACAAAATTAAAGTTTTTGTTTTGGCGCCATCTAGGCTTTCCGGGATACTTAGATAGGATCCCGTCCCTCCATCACAAGAAATTCCTAAAATATGTTTCATATCACTTCTAATTTCCTCCGAGACCAAATGGCCAAATTGAACTGAAGATTTATCAAAATTAATTTGCTGTCCCGAAACCCTTTCATACTGTTTCAGTATAGCCAGAATCTTATGGCATTCATCTTTATTTTCTTTGCAAAAAAAATAAGCTGTCATCCGCAAAAAGTAGATGTGAGACCGATGGACTTGCTCGTGCAATCTTTAGGCCGGTCAATAATTTTTCCCCTTCAGCTTTCTTTATATTTGAAATTAAAACTTCCATACTTAGTATAAATAAATATGGAGATAAAGGATCCCCTTGACGGAGTCCCATCCCTGAGATTATTTGTCCATTTGGTTGTCCGTTTAATAGAACTTTATATTTTACTGAGGTGATGCATCACATTATCCATGTTATCCATTTCTCCGCAAAACCAAATTGTTTCAAGAGATCTTCAATAAAAGCCCATTCCACTCGATCATAGGCTTTGCTCATGGCCGTCTTTATCGCCATATATTTATTTTTGCATGATTTATTAGTCCGCAGGCCATTAAACATCTCTTGTGCTATTAGAATATTATCTGAAATCAGCCGTCCTGCCACAAAAGCTGATTGTGTTTCCGAGATCAGGTCCGGTAATAACCTTTTAAGTCTTTGACATAGTACTTTAGATATGATCTTATAACCTACATTACACAGGCTAATAGGCCGTAATTCTGTCATTCTCGTTGGCTTTTCTGTTTTTGGAATTAAACAAATATTTGTCATATTTAATCGTTCGTCAATAGCCCCCGTCTCCAAGAAACCGTTAACTAAGCGTACAAGATCCGCCTTAATGATTTGCCATGAGCGTTGGTAGAAGAGTGCTGTCATTCCGTCAGAACCTGGGGCTTTCTCCGGATGCATCATGAATAGTGCTCTTCTTATTTCCTCCTCGGATGCCATAGCCGTGAGCATTGCATTACTTGTGTCCGATATTGATGGTTTAATATTTCCCAATGCCTCATCAAATTCCGTTGAGGAAGTCGAGGTGAATAACTCATCAAAATAATTGACGGCCACTTGCTCAATCTCTTTTTCTGAAGTAACCCATGTTCCTACCGCATTATTCAAGCCAATAATTCGATTCCGTGCTTTTCTTTGTTTGACCAGTGCGTGATAAAATTTTGTACTTTTATCTCCCGCCTTGGCCCAATGAGAGTGATTTTTTTGTTGCCAATATAATTCTTCATCCCTATAAGCTTCGTTCAACTTTTTTGTGACCTCCATCAATTCATCCTCTGTCTGTGTCATTTTTTCCGTGTCATTTTATCTTCAATTGTAGCAACAAGTGGCCTATGATCTGATCCAATCATTGCCAGATACTCAACAAAGGAGTGTGAGAAAATCTCATGCCAATCTTCATTCGCTAGAGCCCGGTCTAGACGACATCTAACTACTTTTGAATTTATTCGTCCCCTCCAAGACATTGTATTTCCTAAACATGGAAATTCCAAAAAACCACAGTCCCTTATCATTAAATTAAAAGACACAAAGGTAGAGGCATGTCTTAACGGGCCTCCTTGTTTTTCATTATTACCCGTTATTTCGTTTATATCTCCAATAATGAACCAAGGATCCGACCATGTAAGACTCATACGAGTTAATCTTTCCCAGACTTGATCCCGATTTTTTGTCACTGGATCCCCATAAATAAATGAGAGGTACACTTTTTTCCGAGAATAGTCGCTTCAATACTCAATAATCCGATTATTTGAAAATAAAATTGTAACATCAAAGGAATTATTATAAAATAAGGCAAGTCCACCACTTGCACTGCACGGTTCAACCGTGTACAACTTATTATAACCGAAATGAAACTGAAATTTTTGTAAAAAAGAAAAATCTTCTTTGGTTTCCGAAAGATACAGAAACTCTGGCTTATGTTTCTTCCACACCTCCCGAATATAGCTTATTTTCCAACGATTCCCGAGTCCTCGACAATTCCAACTCAGAATCCTCATCTATCTAACCAGTGCTTGATGATTGATGCTCTCCCGTCGAGATTGATGGTCCCTTTGGAGCACCTGACGCTGACCCGTCATTTTCCCAAGTGGTTATCTTGGTGACTTGTTTCTTTCGAGGGGATACTAGATTCTGAATCATCCTTTTCTTTGACAATGCGCCATGATATTGTGGGCTGACCTTGGGTTGTTTCTTCTTTGTCGCTGGTTTGCTGTTTTTCACGGGCTCAGTCTCCTTTACCATCTCCGAAGTTTCAACAGCCATAACATCCGTATGAGATAAATCCTCTATTACTCTCGTACCCATCACTTCTGTGCTCTTGAGAATCTCTCCTTCCTCCTGGTTAAAATATTCATACACGTCTTCCAAAGTCAGCAACAATTCCTATATGTCAAATTCTGGGTTCATTTTTTGCATTTGTTCGTCTTGTGATTTTTCCTCATCGTGAACCTGAATCAAACCTTCCTCCACCTTATCTTTTTCCACCGTTACTATCTCTTCATCAGTCATTGAGATGTTATTCCCAATATCCTGCAGAATTAATTCCTCGTTTTTCTCTATATTGGTGACCACAGATTCATGAGAAATCATACCATCACCTTGAAAGGATATGCCCTTTCGCACAGATTTTTCCACCATTCCAACCTTCTTCATGACCTCAATCTCTTGCTGCTTTCCTTTTTCCCCATCTTCCTTCAAATTCTCCACCACGTGCTGAACCATATCTGCTTCACCATGGGTTGTTTTCACCATAATTTCCTCAGTAACCGATAGCTTTGCACTCACTTCTTGTTGCCCAGATTTTCTTGCTACTGGTGATATAGCTGAACCCCTCTGGTTCATCTCCTTTGGTGGAAGATAACCAGAAGGTCTATTAAGTCTAAAGACACCTTCACCGTTTTTTTTGCCGCCTCGGCTTCTGTATTGTCGTGTGTCCTCCTCATAAACCTTGCCTTTCCCCTTGTTCTGCCCACTGTACGAGCCACTTGAGCTACCATTTTTCACATTTTCTTTGTTCCCCACATTGCCATGGACCGTTGCAGCTTTATTCGATGCAGCTCCTTGACCGTTTCGATGCTCGTCATTGTAATCCTCCCTCACTTTCCTCTCTGTAGAGTCAGGTCTGCTTGGAAACCTTTGTTCATCATGGCAGAGGCTGTGACAAATTTTGTAAAAACAGAACAGCCTCTCATATCGCAGGTAGACCGTTGTTTTCACTCCTCCTTGAAATTCCACCATGGTTTCAAAGCATAAGGGTTGTAGACCATCAATCACAATCTGTACATTTCCTTCGTCCAAATTGACTTTTTTGACATCCCCAAGAGCTTTTCCAATGCTTTCGAAGGTTACGTCAGCCCAGAAGTGCAGCAGTACACCAACGATACGTACCCAGAACATGATCTCCGAAGGATATGTTGGGTTGACCGCAGGTGCCCATCGCACCAATGAGAGCATCCAATAGTCAAAATGGAAAGGCTCCATTTTCAGTACCTCCATTATGTTGGGAATGTCCTGAAATCATTTGTACTTTACTCTAGTTAAAGTTGTAATGTCGAGATTTGACAATCGTATAATATTAGGTGGTTATAATGTTTTGCTAGAAGCCGCTTATAATCTATGGGTTGAGAACCCGTTACTAATATTATATGATCTTATAGGGTCACAAACCTAAGCAAATTAGATTAACAATAATTAAGTCTAATATGATTAGATTAATTTTAATAAATTTGGATTTTGGATTTCATGTAATATATATCTATATGAGATATATATATATATATATTTGACTATAATTAATAATCTTAATTGGATTAAGAGGAATGGGCTTGACGTGATGTGGGCTTGGCTAATGCTAATATGATTAGATTAGGGATTACTATTATTCCATATAAATAAGAAACTCCACGTATGTAAAAGTGAGAGAGCCGCACAGCTATAATACACACAGAGATTCTTTTCTTGCGAAGGAAGAAATCAATTTCTTTTGAAGAAACAAAAGCTATATCACGTGGAGATATTTGTTTGTGAAACAATAGGAAGCTAACAAGCTTTAAATCCAAAGAAAAACAAGCTCGTGTGATGAGTGTTTGAGATTAGATCTCGAAGGTACTAGCATACCCTTTCCGATCCAGTTTGTGTACGTGTGGATACCAATAGAGGCACAACACTTGGGGTGCTAAAATAATCTCGAATCGTATTTGCTCACCGTTCCGCTGCAGAATATCCAGGTATATTCATAGAATCCATAGCGTAGATTTAAATCAGTACTTGCATGAATCCTGGCAATTGAATTCGTAATTAGTATTTATAAATCGTTATAAACCGGTACGAATTCCAACAGTGGTATCAGAGCCGACATGTATAATATTGAAATCGAATCTAGGATAATCGAACTATATATTAATATAGATGAACATTTGAAATCTATAATCTGATTATAGACCTAAAATTGGTTTGATCCTAATTGGATTAGGATTTGAGACCAAGCATCTATAATTAAGTGTAATCGATATTTCTGTAAAATTATATTTTATTATTTAATTTGATTAAATTATAAGGTTTGTGATTTTAGTTTGCTAAATACGATTGTTGAAACTGGACCCATATAATAATTTTTAAAGTTGTAATCTGATTACAATTAGGTTATGTCCAGAATTTATATATCTGCATGAAAGTGTTTCAGTGCCAATCATATTTGATGTCAAGTACGTAATTAATATCATAGTGTCCAGTAGCATGCTTTTTGTCATGTAGTATCACATATGTACTTGTCATATGCATAATACATATAAGTTATGCAACACGTATTATTGTAATGCTTGATTACTTGGTTTTGAAAACAATATAATATGTGTATCTTATGACTTGTTCAGAGCCGTGCCCAGAGATATGAGGCCCGTAAGCAAACTAAAAAAAAACTCTCATCGTCGCAAACCCATATCGTATTGAATAAATAATAACTATCATCGTCTCAATTCATATAAAACAATAATAAAAATCATAATCTTAAAAAAAAACAAAGATAACAAAATTTAAAAAATAATTTTTCAAAGATAATATATTTCTTTAACTAACTCCCTTTCGATAAATAAGATAACCAAGTCACTTAATATCTTCTGTGACACACTAAATCTCACTTTTTCTAAGGTAAAAAAAGGATTTAGACTATCGTTCTGATAATAATGTATTATGAATAGTGAGATGAAATTATAGAGAATTATATATAATATTACAAAAAAGTATATATTTTACTGTGAGATTTAAAAATAAAGTTAAAAAAGTATTGTATATGTTAATAAGCGGCCAACTAAATTATCATTAGTTCATTACTCTAATTTTGTATTAGTTAAAAATTAGGTCCAATATTTAACTAAAATCTATTGCTGCTACCTATGCTAGTACTACTAATCTTGGGCCTTCGATTTCTTTTGTAAAAGTTGGGCCCGTAGGCCAATGCCTCTTATTGACTAACATAGGCACGGGCCTGGACGTGTTGAAATCGTATTGAATCACTTGTGCTGGTTCGGTTCATGATACGATTGGTTCGGCTAAAGTCAAAAATCTTTAGATGATTTGACACGATCTTTTATTTAATTTATAAAATTATTGAAGATAAGTTATGAAATAGTTTATAATTTTAATTAGATTAAAATCAAATTAATTATTTGTAATCCAATTAATACATATAAGATATGTATGAGTTATATTTAATTATTTATATTAGATATAAATTTTAATATAAAATAAAATTGGATTAATATTAATTCCTCAATAAATGTTAAGTAATTTGATGTCTCTCCAATCTTATCAACTGTTAAAACTTAAATGGTTGTATGGCGGGTCTGCCAAAGTAGCGGTCTACAATTATTTGAGAGTGAGACAGATGTAACGGTTACCATGTGAAACAAGATTGGTTTACTTGACTAAGCTATCAAAACGGTTTTGGGCTTAGAGACATAGGGTTGGATTGGACATAAGAAGTCATCCACAACCAGAATTATACTGGATATAATTGGCAAGGATGTTGCTTACCTAAATAGCTAGATATTCGGGGGTGGAGCCAAAGCTCACTTGGATTCTGGTGAAATACGGATTTTGGATCACTTTACTCATTTGAGGAAATTTTTGTTTTGAGTATAGTGTGAGTTTTCTTAATTGTTAAGAATGCTCAAAATTTATGAACATCATATTAACTTCTGCTTTATTTTTTCGACAGTTATGTCAAACCCTCAAAGTTCCTATTTATTGCGATATGTCCTTGAGAAGGACACATTGAGTCAATCAAACCTCCTTGAATGCTTGGAAGATCTGAAAGAGAAGAAAACTTTTGAGATTTCTTCTCTGGGTATCTATGTTATAGAGGTAAATGTTACCACTTCTGGTTCTACTCCTTGGGTATTGGATACCGGCTATGGCGCTCACATTTTTACAAATGTGCAAGGTCTAAAGAACATCAGAACCTTGGAAGAAGGACAAGTTGACCTACGTGTGGCTAATGGTGCAAAAGTTGCAGCATTAGCAGTGGGGACATATTCATTGTCTTTGCCTTCAGGCATGGTTTAGAACTCAAGAACTGCTATTATGTTCCTGCTATAAACAAGAATATCATCTCTATTCCATGTTTGGACATGGAAGGTTTTCATTTTTCGATAAAATGTTGTTCATTTGATCGTGATGATATGTTTTATGGTAGTGCTCCATTAGAGAATTGACTCTATGTTCTAAACCAAAATATGCCGGTCTATAACATTCGTACAAAGAGGTTTAAGTCTAATGACTTAAATCCAACTTTTCTCTGGCTTGTCATTTGGGCCATATAAATGAGAAACGCATTCAGAAGCTTCATGGTGATGGACTTTTGAAATCATTTGATTTTGAATCATATAAAAACATGTGAATCTTGTTTGTTGGGAAAAATGACTAAGGCTCCATTTACTGGACACAGTGAAAGGGCTAGTGATCTATTGGGCCATACATACAGATGTATGTGGACCAATGAGTTTAAATGCTAGAGGAAACTTCCAGTACTTCATCACATTTACTGATGACTTCAGTAGATATGGTTATGTTTACCTAATGAAACATAAATCTGAATCCTTTGAAAAGTTCAAGGAGTTCCAAAGTGAAGTACAAAATCAACTTGGCAAAAGGATTAAATCGCTTCGATCAGATCGCGGAGGAGAATATTTGAGCCAAGTTTTCAGTGATCATCTGAGAGAATGTGGAATCGTTTCACAACTCACTCCTCCAGGAACACCGCAATGGAATGGTGTGTCTGAAAGGAGAAATCGAACTCTATTAGATATGGTTCGATCAATGATGAGTCACACAGATCTTCCATTATCCTTTTGGGGATATGCTTTAGAAACTGCCGCGTTCATGCTAAATAGAATTCCATCAAAATCAGTTGAAAAGACACCATATGAGATGTGGACAGGAAAAGTTCCTAATTTGTCTTTTCTTAAAATTTGGGGTTGTGATGCTTATGTTAAACGTATGTTTACTGATAAGCTTGGACCCAAATCTGATAAGTGCTACTTCGTAGGTTATCCCAAAGAGACCAAAGGTTTCTTTTACAACTCTGCTGAGAACAAAGTGTTTGTTGCTCGGAATGGTGCCTTTTTAGAAAGAGAATTTCTTTCAAAGGGAACTAGTGGGAGTAAAGTATCACTCGAAGAAGTTCGAGAGTCACAGGAGGATGTTCCAACTCTTGAGGAAGAACATCAATTGGATCTACGAAGAGTCGTAGAATCAACTCCTGTGGAACCTGAGGTACGTAGGTCCGAAAGAATTCGTCAGGAACCTAATAGGTTTGGGGATTGGGTGATGGATCATCATGATCTTTTACTTATAGAGAGTGATGAACCTACATCTTTTGGAGAAGCAATGATGGGCCCTGATTCCGAGAAATGGCTACAAGCCGCAGAATTCGAAATGGGATCCATGTCAGAAAACAAAGTTTGGACTTTGGTAGATTTACCTGATGGTGTTAAAGCCATTGAGTGTAAATGGATTTTCAAGAAGAAAACAGACATGGATGGTAATATAGTGATATACAAAGCTAGATTGGTGGCGAAAGGTTACAAGCAAATTCATGGTATAGACTATGATGAAACCTATTCTCCAGTCGCAATGCTTAAGTCTATTCGGATTCTCCTAGCAACTGCCGCTTATTATGATTATGAGATTTGGCAAATGGATGTGAAAACAGCTTTCCTTAATGGAAATCTCGAAGAGGATGTTTACATGACACAACCTGAAGGTTTCACATCTCCTGAAACTGCTAGGAAGGTATGCAAGCTTCATCGTTCTATTTATTGTTTGAAGCAAGCATCTCGGAGTTGGAATCTTCGTTTTAATGAGGCAATCAAAGAGTTTGATTTCATTAGAAATGAAGAAGAACCTCGTGTTTACAAGAAGACTAGTGGGAGCGCAGTTGCTTTTCTGGTATTGTATGTAGATGACATACTGCTCATTGGGAATGATATTCCTCTACT